CAGCTCATCCTGGGCTAATGCCTCATGGCATTTATCGGAGGCCACAACAAAGTCTTTCAGGGCCAAAAGTCCTGGCTGATGTAGAGCAGCACGGCTCATCTGCGGCGCTGATTTACATGGAGAATCTGCTGCAAGGGGAAGGGAGGAATACATTAAAGCACCGTAAATTCAGGTGGCAGAGCAGCCCTGGCAGCCCTGGCTCCCCAGCAGCCAGGGTTAGCTGTCCCTGGCAGCATGCAAACTCCCAGGGGACGACAGCTGTGAGAGAGAGAGAAGGAAAAGGGGTGCTGGCTGGTCCCCCAGCACCAGCTGTGAGTGGCCTCGAAGAGCTGCCATCCCGGGCTGCACCCTGACCCTTGTGGGCTGCACACAGCGTGGGGGGATGCTCCGAGGCACCGGGGGAGCTGGGGTCCCAGACCCAGAGGACTGTGCACATCCCCTCTCTCTGGGCTCTAAGGACCACGCGCGAATTCCCAGCCTGGCATCAGCAACCAGCGGCCAGAGGTAAGCACACAAAGCAGGGACTTCAACTGCAAACCCTTGGATCTGCAGCCTCCATCCCCCACTTCCCTGCTGTGTAACAAGTCCACTTTCTCGCAGGCAGGGCTGAGCATCGCACAGCGCAGAGCAGACGTGGCTTTGCTGAGAGCCATCAAGAAAAGGAAAGACATAATGAAACTCTTGATGCTGGCTGCAAACATTGTAAAATTAAATTAAGCCCCTGGTCCCGGGCTGTGAACTTCCTGCAGAGCAGGTGGGCGCAGACGGCAGCAGCAGCCGCCCTCCGAGGCGCCAGCAGCGGCGCCAGCTCACGTTCAGGGGCGTTCACCGGCCCTGCTCAAGGCTGGGCATCCTCTGAGCTCTCCACAAAATCACTCCCCTAACCTGCTCAAGGCTTGCGGATGCCGGCACGAACTCATGGGGTTCCCACAGGGAGGGAGCTCTTTGCACCCGAGCGGGGACTGCAAGCTCGTCTGCTCAGACAAGGGTCCTATTTCCATCAAACTTAAACATAGTAGGACTTCTGTAGGGGTTTCTGAATTGCCTCAGGTTCAACTGGAAGAGAATATTCTCATTCCCAAATGAGAGTAGCCTGGCACAGGAGCACACACATGCCAGGCAGCTCTTGGATCCTGCTGCTCGGTATCCACAGCCACGGAGAGAGCAAATTTGCAACTGCCTGTGAGCCCAGAAGACTCTCAGAGACGATGCTGCAAGGGAAAGATGATGTTAATTCAATAGGGAGGGTGCCTGTGTGTTGCTTGGGGTGGAAAAGGAGAAAGGAGGGGAGCTGCCCCTGCCGGATCTGTGAACCGCAGGAGAATCTGATAGGATTTCTGCTAGAAGGCAAATAACATCAACCAGCCTCCAGAGATTGTTTGTTTTCTCAGAAATCTTAACATGCAAGAACTGGAAAATAAATAGCAATCCCAGTGAAACACAGAAGTCTCTTTTTTACCTCTGTTTTTTGGAACCCAGGAGAGGTGGCTGTGCAGGTCTTGGCGGCTTACTGCCCTGGGTGCTGCAAGGAATGCCTGCAAAGGGAGGACCGGGAGTCATACTGATCCAGGAAAAATAACAGGCTTGTGTGGCCTGCTTAAAGGTTTAAACTGAAAAACGGAATTGGAGCCTGGCTTTGCCCTGGTGTGTCTGGAAGCCGTTGTGGGATATTCCTCCTCCGTTGTGCTCGCCCCAGCCCTCTGCTCCGTCCCTTGGCTGGCCCAGCTGTGCAGGAACGGGGCAGCATCTCCACCCTGAAGGTTGGCTGCACAGGTATCTTTATGGGACTAAACCAACATAGCAAAGCTGCCACTTGAAAAGAGCCAGGAGCAGATGGTGTCACGCACATACGCACTTGCATTTTCCCCTTCTACCCTTTAGCAAAGCTGCTAAATGCCTTGATCCTGCATGGAGGATGTTTGCTGAATTCAACTTTGAAAGCTTGGTGCAACCCAGAGGACCTGTACTTGTAAGGACACGGAGAGGAAGGGGAAGCTTTGCAATGTGGAGGTGAAGCAGAAAAGAGCTCTGGCACATGAAGTAACGGAGGGAGCAGAAAAGCCATGGTGAAGTGCTCAGACTGTTTTGAAGAGTAGCCTCTGCACCAAGCCCAGGAGAAACCCACAGGGGTCCACGGTGGAGGGTGACAAGCGTGAGAGGCGTTTGCAAATGGACAAAGCCACTGGCTGAAAAATGGAGTGTTTGCAACTAATTATTTTCAGTAACTGACCAGCTTTAAGGATGGTTGAATAATATTAGTCAAATAAATTATTCATGATTTCTTTCCACTGATCAGCAAATCAATTAGCCACAAACCTCTCTTCAATTATTCATCCAGCTCCAGTGGGATAAGTGGAGAGATTTATGACACAGTCAACCAACACATATTTCCAAACAAGGACCCTTAAAATCCTTAACCCTTGTTCTGAACTGGCTCAAATGACCCAGTGCTTTGATTCAGAGTTAAACTCTCCGAGCTCGTGTCCTGTATGCTGCCTGCTCTGTACCGTCTCCTGCTGCCCAGCATACCTGGGAGGTAAGGCAGTGTGGACCTGTGGTCATGGGACACGGAGAGACACGGTCTTGAGATGTTCATCAGGGCTCGCAAGTGATGTGGAAACACAGACAAGCTCCATGATGAATAAACTGGTAGATATGGCCAAGTCAAAATACAAGACCTGGTGCAGCAGAAACTGGATAACCAGCTTGCATTGTGCATGAGGTCAGGTGTGATGACATACAAATCTCTCCAGCTATGAACTCCATGGATATGGGCCTGTTGGAAAGTTGTTTTTCTGCAAATTAACCTCTACTGTTATAATTCACAGTAAAAGCACTCTTACACCAAAATTAAGGAGTGTTGACAATATTAAGCTGAACAATAAATGCAAGTAAGAGTTATTAGACTAACAAATAGCCAAATTAGCATAAGAGCTGGCTTTGCCTCACTGGAGTAGCAACCTTAGAGGTTGTGTAAGTGGAGCATAATTCAGTATAAGTGTGATAAGTGACCAGGACTGCACAGAGAGATCTCTAAATTGCCCTGCCTTGTAAGACTTCACAACCCGACTATACTGGTGCCCAAACTCAGAAGTGAGGCCTTCTGCCATACCTGGCACGGCCACAGGTCCCTCATAGCAATCTACAGTATTGCTCGTTAATAGGGTTGGAAATTAGGGCGGTGGCTGGCCTGCACAGATAAAGCGGGTCCAGACGTGGGAGGGCAGCTGCTGTGTACGCCTGGCAAAGCTTCTTTTCCTGCAGCAATGTAGGAAGAGGCGCAGGAATAGCGAGGCACTCCAGGGGAAAAGCATCACTTGCAGCTTTGATTGATGTGGTTAGTGGATTAAGTTTATATTAATATAAACACACTCGCTGCCTTAATCGTCTTTCATTCAGCTGCCTGAGAGGGCTCACTTCCCACGTAGTCCCACCCAGAACTGCAGAGGGTTCGTTCATTTGGAGCAGGTTTGGCTACAGGCTGTGAAGGCACCCCCCCAGCTGGAGCTCACAGCCTCCCCGGGGCACGCGTGCCCAGCCCGGCGTGGTGACCTGGGGCAGGGCAGCCTCCGGCCTTTACCTGAGAAACTGCTGGCTCTGGGTTGGATAATCTTCCCTTAGTTAGCATCCCAGTGCAGGGGAGCTGTAGCCACACCAGGGAGCTGAGCCAGTCAGCCGCATCAGGGGTAACTGCTGCTTGAGACGCAGTGGGAGGTGCTGGGCCAGCCAGTTCTGCATCTCACAAGGGTCCCCCACTCATGGCTCGAAGAGACGGTGGTCTCCTTTGCAAAGGGTGAAGGTGCAACAGTTCCCTCTTTGCAAAGTGCTGCAAGGCTGCGGGTAGGAGGGGTGCGAGCAGGGCTGCAGGCTTGCATCCCTCTGCCCTTCACCTTTCAGTGCTGCACGTCCTGGGTGATGAAGACAGCTAACCAAGGAACCAGTTCTCCTGGATCACTGGTTCTGCACCCCTGGAAACACTCAAAGTGAAGCTGGATGTCTAGGCCAGGACTCGCCACACTTCAGCTGCTGGTGTCTGTGGAGTTAAGATGTTTTTAGTGGCATCAGTTCCCACAGCTGTCCCCCACACGCAAAGCCCACCTACGTCAGGGTGCCTTTGGTGACGCTGGGGTCAGAGCTGCCACAGCAATGCCACGGGTGAAGCATCGTACCTGTGGCTGGGAGAGGTAGGAAGGCACAGCAGGGGCAGGAGGGGGGCCGGAAAATTGATCTTGAGACAGGGCTGGGCTCCCGTGGGATGGTGTGGGACCTCTGCTATGGGGGCACTGGTTACGGGGCGGGGGAAAAGACTGGGCAGCCCCCTCCCCATTTTCCATCAGAGCAGCTGAGCCACCCCCGGGGCACAGACAGGAGAAGGGCTTAAGGACCGCATCTTGGGCTCTGGGACAGATCACAGCTCCCCAGGATGGTGACAGGGAGTCCTGGGCTCCGGCACTGAGATCGGCTCCGGATTTTTGGGCTCCGGGGCTCTAGGAATGGCCGCAGCCCCCGGGGGTGGGGATGGAGACGGGGGGGTTCTGGGCTCTGATGTCGCTCTCAGGTCCCAGGAATGGGGGCGAGTGTCCCGCAGTCAGGGACCGGTCGCAGCCCCCAGCGACCCGGGGACGGGATCCCGGAGGACGGGTTGCTCTCGGGTGCCAGAAACGGGGACGGGGGATCCCCGGCCGCAGGATGGCGGGGGTCCGGGGAGACCGGCGCTGCGGGCAGAGCGGCGAGCCCCGGCGGAGGCGGCGGGGGGGGGGGAAGGGTCCCAGCCCCCGCCCCCGCCCGGCGGCGGCCGGTCCCCCCCCCGCAGCGTGGCGAGGCGGAGGGGCCGGCCCCCCCCTCCCCGCCGCCCCGCCCCGCCCCGCCGCCCGCCCCCAGCGCGCCTCCCGCGGGCGGCGGAGCGCGGCGCGGGGCCGCGGGGCCGGCGGCGGGGCGGTGCGCCGGGGCGAGCGGCGGCGGGGCGGCCCGCAGCCCCCGACGGCAGCGGCGGCGGCGGGGCTGAGCGGCGGGCGGCCGGGGCTCCGCGGCCCCCCGGGGAGCGGGGAGCAGCCGCCCGCCCGCCCGGCGCCGCACCCGGCACACGGATTTACGGCGCGGACTGCAGCCTCTGGAGCGGGCCCCCGCAGGTAAGGCACCGGCGGCGGCACCGGGGTTCCCCCGCCGCCTCCGCGGCGTAGCCCCGAGCATCCCCCCCCCGCCGCTACCCCCCACCCTTTGCCTTAGCGCCTCGCCGGGCTCCGGACGCGGCACAAGTTTCCCCCGTTGTGGTCCCACCGGGCACCGTCTCGCCTCGCATCCCCCCGCCCCCCCCCCCCCCCCTCCCCGCGCCGCTCCGCTGTCGGATGCTGCAGGGATGGGGCTGCCCTGGGCTGCGCCCACCCCCCCGCCCCTTCTCCGCCCGCCGTTCGCCCTCCCCGCCGTGCCCCCGCACCCCCGAGCCCCCCCGGCGGGGGAGCGGCAGCGCTTGGGGTCCCGCTCGGGCAGCGTCGCGCACCGGCCGGCTGCAGAGAGGGGGAGGGACCGGGGGGGCTGCGGCCAACGCGCCCCTCAGCAGGAGGAGGAGGAGGAGGAGGAGGAGGAGGAGGAGGAGGGTCGGCGGCCAGGTCGCGGTGGGGGCGGGCGAGCCGGCTGCTGGGGCTGATGCGGGAGAAGCCTCTGTTGCTTTTGGACCAAACTTGGCTGAGGGAAACCTGACCTCAGCCCCGGAGCCCCGGGGTGGGACTCGTGGGACAGGGGTGTCCCCGAAGGGCATGCCCGGAGCCTCCCTCTGTTAGGGGTGCTCGGTGTCTCACCTCGGCGGGGGGATGTCCCGGGCTCAGGGATGCTCTCGGGCTAGGCCTCAGCCAGAGGATGCGAGAGCCGCATTCGGTCTCCGTCCTCCCCCGGGGGGGACGTGAACTCCTTCCAGCCCTCCTCGCAGCAGGGCTGAGTGCCGGGGGGCTCGCCTCGCGGGCTGGGGACCCTCCCGGTCTCCGCATTGGAAAGCCTTCGCCTTTGCAGTCAGTCTCTGAAAGCGGGCGTGGGAGAGGTGGAAGAGTCCATGGGAAAGGTGGCTCAGCCCCGGGGGTCACCGCACGCCCCAGGGCACGGGGAGAGGGGGGTCGGCCTCCCCTGAGGATGCTGAATGGGTTCTGAGTGGGACCTTCACCTCTCCGACCCCACTAGCAGAGGCGCTGCCCACTCACAGACCTGATGTGCACGGGAGGACATGGGTGCTGCTGGGGGTCCTGCTTCGCTGGCGCTGCTGGGTGTGGATTTTACCCAGGGGGAGGGGAGGGGCACTTTTCCTGTGCCTGGAAGATCCCCGTTTGCAGCCTGTTCCCCCTTTTCCTGCACGGTGGCAGACTGTCGCCATCGGTCAGGCAGATGGGCTGTGCAGCTGAGCCGTGACTGGCCGTGGGCGTGGGGTATCGCTCCGCCGGAGCCCGTGGGGAAGTTGTGCTCAGCCTGGTTCATCGCCCGAGGAGCCTGATCTGATGCTCCTGAGCTGGAGGGGGGTCAGATTCAGAGTCCTCACTTTGGACATACAACTGCCACACTGCTCGTCGGGCAGCAGGGCAGCTGCCACGAGGGTTTAGATGTCCCATGGTGGTTTATGCCAGGAATCTGGATGCCTCTTCTCTTCTCTGTGAGCTGCCTTCACCTGGGCCTGTTGTAATGCCCAGTCCCGGTACCATACCATCCTTTCCACACCTCCCAAACTTGCTGAGCCCCAACGGGTCCTGTTTAGCTCCTTAATTTGCCAGCGCTGACGCTGTGCCAGGCTGCATTCAGGCTGTGGGATGTCCACTCCTTGGCTGCACGTCACGGGTGGCCCTTGCCTTCTCCCCCGAGTGCCTATTGGGTGCAGAGGGTACCTGGGGTTCATCTGTAAGGATGGATGTGAGTCCAGGAGTCTGATCACTGTGTGCAAAATCCTCCTCCAGAAATCCCTTTCTCCTGAGCGTCACCAACATAAGATGAAATAAGCGCAGATCCTGCAGTTTTAGGGCTCTCTACAGGTTTTGCTGCAACCAGCAGTAGACTGGGCTGAATATAAAATGGGTTTTTCTCTGTTTCCCAATGCAAAGCTCTTGCCGTCAGAATGAAAACAGATGTTTGGCTGCCTGTTTAAGCCAGTTTTACAGAAAACTGCCTCTGGTTAAGACACTAGCAGTACTAGGATCTCCAGCCCCATCCCGTTTACCTCCGTGGCTTCAAAGGCTGCCTTGAGCGTAACTGCTCTTAAACTCCCCTGGACCTGGCAGAGCCTGGGTTGCTGCCAGAGAGGTATCCCCCTGCTCCCTTTCAAAAATAATAAGGGAAATAAATACAAAACACCGTGCAAATGCTGAAGGAGGGCTTCAGAGCGGTGAGCTGAGGAAGCGAGAGTGGCTTGGCACAGCGTCACGGGCTGGAGCTCTAGTCTGGAGCCCTGTCCCTGCCACCGCGTCCCCGTGTCCCCATCCGGCTCCGGGCACCCTGCAGTGCGCTGCAGGCACTCCGAGGAGCTCTTCAAAGGAAACCCAGGGGAGGATCTGGGCCCTAGCTCCTCTGCCGCCTTGCCATGCGTGGAAAGGCGGCGGCAGCAGTGGGATATCCCCCAGGAGCACCGTGTACACATACCGACCTGAGAGACAGCCCTGCGTGTTCAGTTGTTTAGCACATAGATCCAGAGAGAGAGAGAGAGTTTTTCTATGCTTGTTTTTATGCTTTATCAAATGGATAGATTGCTGCTGATATTTTGCTACGGGCCACCTAAAAGCACAGCCCGTGCGCTCTGGTGGAGCTCAACATCTTGCTGGTTTTCTTGTAGCTGCTCAGACCGTAACGCTGCCCAGGGGCGGTGGCGGGAGGGGGGTGCAGGGCCTGACACAGGCTCAGGGTGTCCCCCTTTGTGCACAGGGGTACAAAAGAAGCTTGTGCTGGCCCCGAGAACCACGGCAGGGCTCTGCTGAATCACAGCTACCTGGGAGCTCCCTCTGCCTTCGCAGGTTGCTGCTGGTGCTCTGGCAAGTAGCTCCGTGTGTAAATGGGGATTTCTTCAAAACTTCTGGGAGGAGCAGCTGGCAATGGAATAGCTCTGGGGCAAAAATGTGTGTGTGTGTGAACTCCAGACCAAACGGGAGTGGGAAAACATCCAGAGTTACGGAACTAATGCAAATGGAGTTGGCTTTCATCTCTCCCTGCAGCATCCTTTGTGGAAGGCATTTGCATTTCCCCAAAGTCAGTATTTCCCTACCTGTCCCTCAAGCAAATCCAGAGCTATAAAGCAGAGGAAAGCCTTTTCAGAAGGTGATGGGTGGCTCTCTAGATGTGGAGAGAGGTGAACTCAAAATATTTCAGAAGGAAAGCTCTTATTTTAAGGTAGCGGCTCTGGACACGGCAGAGAATTGCACCCACAGACTGTGGTGTGCCCCACTGTCGAGCGCAGGGATGGGGACCATTCTGGGGCTCCTGCCAGGCCACCACATGTGGGTGACCCATCCAGGAGAGGGACGGGGGGGCTCACACATGCTCGTGACCTCCCCCTAGCACAACTCCGGGATGCTGCCAGGACGTGCTCCGGCTCGGAGCGGCCCAGCATCACCCCGTTTAGGTGTGCTGGGAGACCCCCGTGGCTCCCATCCTACAGCCGCCTGCCCTGGGGTGTCCAGGTGTCCTCTCCCCCCTGCCCCCCCAGTGGTGCGGGGGGGCTGCTGGGGCTGGGGTCTGCGAACAGCTCCAGGGTGGACTGCTGCCATTTCGAGGGAAGCCTCCAGCTCAGCACAGACACAAACAAAACAGGATTTCATGAGCACTCCAGCAATAGCTATTAGCTATGCTAAAAGGATTAACAGCTCTGCAGGACTCATCAAGTGTTTAGAACATAACTCAAGCATCAAAGACGGCTCTTATAGGCTCACATTTTTCACATCAAGTAACTCTGAAAATTCCTATCCAACTTAATTAAAACATCCACTAGGCTTGTTAAAAGCAAAAAAAAAAAACCAAACCACAAAACAAAGGCCTTTTCTCGTTACGCACCAAGCCATCTTGAAGAGCCGAGTTTACAGAAAAGTATGCAGACTTCTTTGTTAAAGAATCACCTTTGTGAAAGTCTCCTCCTATCCCCAGACCACTGTGGCTGATTAATCTCAAGCTCTCCAAAAAGGAAATAAATGTTTTTTCCTTTTTTTTTTTTTTCCTGACTAGGGACCACAGAAGAAAGATGAAAAAGTGAGAAGAGCTTTGTAGAGAAAGTTAGATAAGAGGGTGGGGGAGTGTCAAAACCAGGCCTATAATAGGAAACAAGCCACTGAAGTGCTGGTGAAAGTACCTTTCATCTTGAAGGCTCCAAAGTGCTGTGCAGTGCATGAATACACTCATAAGCTGGAATATAATTGACAACAACCAGCATCGTGAGCTGAAGTCACCACCTTTGCTGGCAGCAGAGTCACCACAGGCAGCTCGCCGGCTCACTCGCCATCGGTCCCTGGCTGCTGCTCTGCTTGCTGGATTTGTCACTGGTGGTGTGAGCTGGCTCGGCCGAGCTGTTCTTCAAGACCCCAGGCCAAAGTTTTAGATGCCACACTTGTGTGACACGTACATGAGGACACGTGGTCCTGAGCTGGCCCAGCACGGCTGAGGTGTGATGGTGCTAACCAGCCCCTTCCCAAGCCCCTTCCCTCGCATGCTTGGTCACCATTATCTCCCTATTTAATTCTTCCCTGAGATGTGCCCAGTCCTGGTGACATTGGGTCGTCTCTAGGCTTCAGCATATATCCTCCCTGACAGCTCTCACCCTCCTCTGTCTGCCTCAGAGACCTCAGTTATTTTAAGTGCCCTAAGATAGGCTCCTTCCGTAAGAGGTGTAAGTAGGGTGGTGTCACTGGAGCCATGGGTGTGTTAAACACCGTATTTAAACGTAGTAAATGCTTTTTTGACATCCACAGAGACCTTGAACATTTTAGGATTTCATCCTATTATGTTTTTTTTGCTGGTTTTGATCAACAATGAATTAACATCCCCCCAAAAAAGGATTAAATAGCTCCTTTCTTTCCTCCTGCTTACGGGTGAGTTTGATTTCTTCCTCTTCACACTGCCCTGTGTGGTCAGAGCGTGCCTGGAAAGTCAGTGCAGAGCTGCTCCTGCTGCATCTTCCCGA